ATAGAAAGGACTATAAAAAACCATACCCACAAAACGATCCCTGATAATAGCTTGGGAACAAACCAAAACCGTTGGATCCCAAATAGCCTAAAGATCCCCAAAAGAATCCACTTCACAAAACATAACTGGTTTCAAACCCCAGAACTCCCAATAACACTAACAAAAGAACTAGGCAATTTTGCCTCTTGGAGTAGCAATACATCATGTCTATACTTATTAACCAAAAGTTTCAACTCATGTTTTCTTTTAACATTGCTTAATCCCCTAACAAGATATAATGATCATGGGCACGATGAAGAACCAGTCTCAGCAGCACCCACAGTCCCCACAAACGACTGGCCAAAACCGCCATCAAAGTAATCATCATCTTCATCACTTAGGAAAAAGACCTCACCTGGGTTACATGGAGTTCTTTCCTAGAATCTCGCTGCAATACGAGCCGATGACCATGTAGGCTTTACACCAGATTGCTTTGCTACACCAGTCTTTAACCTTTCAGCAACTTAGCGACATCTTTGGGAACACGCTTCACAGCAACCGCAGCTTCAAAATTCTTTAGCTCCGTATCTTTGACCCCTCTTCTATTTGATAACCTCATAAATCATCAATGGAGGGATACTCATATCTTCTCCCGTATAAAAGAGCATCATAGCCAGTTGTTCCTGCGAGAAACCAAGGAAACCCTCAGGATCTACATAAGCCTCAGCCTCCACCATTACCTCCGAATTAGGCAACACCACCGCAACTTCATCCTGTACCATGGCCACAGTTGCTGCATGCACATTCTCAAGGCCACCAATAATCTCATCCTTGATTAAAACTGGAGCAAAGTTGTCCTCACTAATAAGATAATCAACTCCACTCAAACTACCTTTAGCTGCAACACATTTAACGATGGTACAAAATCCACAGCATCGTCAACAATTCTCTTCCACTAAATCTCTATAAGATAAAGTTAAAAACTCAGAAGGTATGAAAAAAATTTGGTTCCCCTCAACAATATCGTCCAGGATAATAATGGGGAGCCATTGCTCTTCCTGTGCCACCCGCTGATCGTCCTCCATCCTCTTATAAACCGCCTTACAAAAAGGTTAAGCAAGCCAACTAGATCTTTACCCCTCGAAGCAGCCACACTCTCCTTTAGATCTTCTCCTTCCTTGGCTGAAACATTCAAGGAGGTTCTCACAGGAAAAAAACAGGGCTCCTTAGCACCTTCAACGTCACCGAAAACCTCTTTGGGAAGTACACAGCCTCCTGGCTTCCGAATGATATCTTCACCGCCAGCCCCACCCGTCCTATCAGCAGCCACTTTTTGCTTCCCTATGCACACACGATCATCCAAAAGACCATTCAGTTTCTCTTTCCCCTTCCACTTAGGAGAAATATCAGCAGCCCCTTAACTTTCAAATTTGGTAATATCTTGAAACAGTAGTCATATTGAACCAATCGAAGATTGATCTTGACTTTTAGTAATGTCCTGAGCTTTAGGGACCTATGCCTTTTTTAATTTTGAAAATGGTTTTGAATTCCTATATCTCAAGAAATCCTACGATGTGCCTCCATGTGCACTATCATGCGTAACTGAATTCCTTCTCTGAAAGCCTACCATTGTTGCCCTTGCTAAAGCCTATTTACCAATTCAAACCTCCTCTCCATTGCACGATCCTCCATTGATTATTCAAAAACACAGGGTCAGAGGTTTTGTGGGTCTCAAGAGCTTTAGTATCCAATCTACTAATAACATCATTACCTTCAAAAGCAACATCAAAAAACAAATCTTCCAAGCCCATAGATAAATGAATCTTACGAGGCCTAGGAGTATGAACATTCTAATTGACCTTAAATCTGACAAAAGACAAATCTTTCCCTTTTAGAGATTCACAATCTATTCCCAAGAAGTCCCCACAAGAGTTACCTAGTTTTTGGAAAACGGTCAAGCTCCAAACATGAATTGGCACCCCCCTAAAACTTAAGTATTTTGTTAACCAAAGAGACATGATCCGAGCTTTTCCATTCCCAAAGGATAAATCCTCCCACGGACACTCAAAACCTAAATACTAAGAGCCGTCTCTATATCTAAACCTGAACGCAGGCAAAAGAAAAATTTATTGTGTCCCATCTATTTCACTCCTGTGGTATAAAAAATCCCCCAACAGTGTCTAGCTCAATCTCCTAAGCCAAAAAAATCATTAAAGGGTAGTAAGAAAGAACCAACCACAACACAACCCACCCACCTGATCGCCTCCGCAACTTTTGCCTGATCCAGAGAGAGAGAAGCAATGTCTTCCCCAGCCTTCTTCCTCCACTTACCACCATCATCCTCCTCACCTTAAACCATCCTTAAAATACTATTTAAACAATCCAATTAAGGCGTATCTCCAAATTTTATCATAAAATGTAATTATAGTAAAAAAATTCTTAGGATTATCTCAAAATCTATTTTTATATCTAATTATAAAATTTTAAACTCAAAAAATGATTAAAATCTAGTAGATCTATAAACATATAAAAATCTTGAAAGTGGACAGTCTAGATAATCTACCGCAAGATGCATTATTCCTAAGACTCAATTTTTTTTTTTTTTTTTCATATTCATACATCGCTATGTCGAGATGATTAATTAGAGTTTTTTTCAACATTAAAACAATATTTTCTGATGGATTTTAGAGGTACATACTTAATTTTACATTTTAATGTTGCAACCTTATATAAAGCTTTTCTTTTATTAATTGTCATGAGTGGAGAACTTAACCTAGAGTGTTGGGCTCACCCGAATTATGCCAAAGCTGATGTGTGGGTATGAGTGGGAAAAAACAAGAATTAAAGCAAATAAACAATAAAACTTATTGGCACCAATATTTATGTGATTCATCTTTTCAGGCTACATCCACGAGAGAAAGAGATGAAATCCGCTATGAACTTAAATGTTACAATAGTATGCCAAGAAGCAACCTTTTTTGGCACTCCACTTTTTTCTAAAGACTTTCTCTCTCTAGGTTTTTTTCTATGAGGTTCTTCTCTTGCTCATAAGCTTCTTTTCTGTCTAAAGGCTTTCTCTCTCTAAAAGAAAATGTTCCCTCTTTATCTCTTCTTCTTCTCTTTATGAGAATGGTAACTCTCTCTCTCTTCTTCTTCTTCTTTACAAAAAAAGGCTTTATGTGTTTCTCTGCAATGAAGAATCTCCTACAAAAGAGACATACACAAACTAGACCTATTTTCTCTTTAACACACGAGCTTAATTTTATGTAGAAGATTACCACTTATTCCATGATCGACAAGAATTGCGCATAAGAGAAGTGCGAGGAATATGGGGGATAATTTTTGTTTCGTATTTTTTTTTTTTTTTTTTAACCAATGTTAGCCAATCTACTTTGCAAATTTGGAAAAATGAATCGGCAGCACTAAACAAAGTTTTGATGTTAGAAAATATGCAAGTCAATCGACCGACCTGCACAATTATGGATCTAAAAAAAGAGATTTTATCCTCTAAAAAATGGTTCACTTAGAAAAAATGTTTTTTTTTTTAATGATTATTTCGATTGTTTACAATCAATTGTTTACAAATCTTCTATATCTACACTTCTTTTTGGAGCTTCAAATTTCCAGGCCTGGAAATATATTTCCAGCCCATCACAAGAGTTGTCTCAAACTTTGATTTCCCTTACGGGGTTTTAAAGTTTAACGTTCCTAAAATCAAGCAGTGGCCAAACAGAACTTAACTCTTAAGAGGGATTGTAGACGTCTACGTTTCTACACAAATGTCATAAGCACCAAAGCTCTTACATGTAAAATTGGATGGTTGGGGTTCGTCAAAAATGGTTAAAATCAAGTAGATCTATAAACATATGAAAATCTTGATAATAGACGGTGTAGATAATATGTTGTAAAATGTACTATTTTTGAGACTTAAAATCTATTTATTTTTCATGGTCATACATCTCGATGTCGAGATAATCAATCAAAGGGTTTTTTAACATTAAAACTACCTTTTTCGATAGATGTTTAAGGTGCATCCGTAGTTCTACACTATATAAGGTTGCATTCTTATATAAACTTTTTCCTTATTTTTAAAGTAATTGAAAAAAACTAATTTGGAAATAGAAAGAACAGAAAAATTTACCGGAGCCAGGCTGCTTGGCCTAGGACGCACGAAACCGAAGTTGGGGCTCGTATCAGACTTCAAGTTGATTTACTCATTTTGCCTTCTTTCTTTTTTGAAGAATTTGTTGAGTTGGGTTGTTGAAATTGGTTCCTACATTGGTTTTAGAAAAAATATTATTTTTTTTAGAGTCTTTTAAGTTCCTAGAGCTAGGGTCAGTGGTTGAATGCACGTATGGTTTCGAGGTTGAAGGTTATGGAGGATGAAGGATCTAAAGTCTTCTTCGCCTCGATCTTCAGGACATGAGATATTCTCCTAGATTAGGTTTGGTTTTGGACACAACTCTATTGTGATCAGGATCCAGGACAACTCCAATCTGAGCCAAATTCTATTTTCTCTTATCCTGGTTGGATTCTTGATAATCCGAATGGTTTTGGGATTCCAATTGGATATCTTCAGGGCCTTCTGAAGGTAGGGACATGGTTCCGGGCGCGTAGACTAAGGATAATGGTGTACTACTTATTAAGCTAGTATAATCCCTAATAGCTTATCCTAGAATTTTTTAAGAATTTAAGGTCTAGAAATTTAGAAAATTGGCCCATTTACATTCTGTCACAAAATCCAAGAAAGTATAGTAATTGTCAATAATAGACTCCGAATCATTGGATTTTACATCTAATGGTAAGTGTGACCATTTTGTACTAAAAATAAATAGTCTTATAACATGCTAAAAATATATATAAAGATCCTTGTTACCTTTTATACAAGGTAATAACATCTTTAACCTTTAAATTTCAAAATGGGTGGCTCTCGAGTATCATTGAATAGTCACAAAATTCCAAAAAAAAAAAATTTCTCAAACCAATTTGACATCTAATGAGTGGGAAGGGCTGTGAGATACTTATATAATTTCCCCTCATTATAATATTCCATTTCTTTTCTCATTTTCCTTAAAAAAACCTTCTTTCTTTTTCACCATTCTAATACCTTCTTATTCCATATCAATCCACTATCTACAAAACACCAAACAATCCCCAATGAAACCAAGATCCCCATCTTGCCTCGTCCAAACACTCATCTTACCCCCACCTTAGAGAATCACTGCCCCTCTAAAATTCACTGCACAAATCAAAAAAAAAAAAGGAAAAAAAAGCAAGAGTAGTTTATCCGCATTTTGCCCTTCACAATCTCCCAAATTCCCATCCCACCCCTAGAGATTCTGCGTTACCCCACTCGATGGCTTGACCGTCGGATGCTGAGTCTCATCGGAATAGTAATGCCAGCCATGCTTACTAGAATCGAACTTCTCCCCATCACCCCACAATGCATACGCCTCCTCTCCATGCACCGCATCATCTCCGATGCTCAGCTGCTCCTCAGACATCCTCAACGGCATCACCGTTCTTATACACAAGCACACGATCGTGGTCACCACGGCATTCCATCCGATGATGAAGGCGGCTCCAACTAGCTGTTTCAGGAGCTGGAAGCCGCCCGCACTGCGTCCGTAGACTGCACCTCGAGAATTGGTGACGGCGAGAAACATGGCGCAGAGCTGGGGCTCGGCGAAGAGGCCGGTGGTGGTGCCACCGATGAAGCCGGCCACGGCGTGGGTGTGGAAGACGCCGAGGGTGTCGTCGATTGTTTGGAGGAGGGGGGAGCGCCGGTGGACAATCATCATCGTGACCCATGGGATGCTCCCCGAGAGGACGCCCATCGCGATGGCGGCCCAACCTTGGACAAGGCCTACAACAACCATAGGAGCAGTAGTTGGGAGAAAGTGTAAGAGATTTGGTGGTTTAGCCGTATAGATTGTAATCCCCATCTATAGAGATTGGAAATGTTTGGACGGTGTCGCAATGGACCTTCAACCGACCCGGGATCAGAGGGGTAGATTGATCTAGGTCCGGGTATGGGTTCAAAAATTGGACATAGTGGGTCGGCTCCGGGTCTGGGTCCGGGTCCAAATCTTGGACCTGATCACTATTCGCGTCCGGATCTTGTAATATTTTTCGGGTCTTAATGTATGAAATATATTTGATACAGTTAAATACAAAGATATTTTAATGTTTTGGGTTGGATCTGAATCCAGTAATATTTTTCGTGTCCAAATATATGAAATAAATTTAAAAATACATAGATATATTAACTTTTTGGGTCAGGTCCGATTGTGTCTGGGTCCAAGATCCACACTGTATTTTTGGGTATGGGTCTGGATCCAAGTCCCACACTGTATTTTAGGGTCTTGGTCTAGTAACATTTTTTCGGGTCCGGGTCTAGTTCAAGGTTTGACTAGACAAAAACCCGACCTGGCCTGGCCCGGCCCCACACGACATGTTGCCACACTATTGAGACATTGGAATGATAAGTGGAGAGGGATGGACTTGGATATGGTCGGCTAGCAATGGGCCGCGTGGCCCGGTCAGCCAGGCCCTTAAAATGTAGGCTTGCCACAAACTAAGGGCCGGGCTAGGACTAGTGACAGTCCACTTTAGCCTGGCCCAGCCTTTTTTTTTTAATTTTTATTTTATTTTTTTTTTCTTTTTTTTTTTTGGTTCGGGCCTGGCACCGGCGCAATGCCAAAAACCTCATAAATGGCCATTGGTTTTGTGTTGATGAAGTCACTTGACTTCTTAGGTTTATTAGTCAAGAAGGAGGTACTTCAAATGGTGTTGTTCTCGCCTTTTTAACCTACAGGAACCCCAAAGTCTGTGGATTAGAAAGACATTTAAAAAAAATGAGATATATAATGGGTGGATAGTATTGCATTTGGGACAAGATTATGAGTTTACACATGATGGACGGTGGGGGATTAATGACACGTTAGTGAAGATTCTTGTGGTTCACTTGCAGTTGACTAATGGAGCAGGTGCTTTGGATTTTCTTGTGGTCCACTTGCTGTTCCCCCGCTGTTCTTGGGACCACAAATTCTTGGAATATTTCATTCTCCCATTGCAAAATGATTATAAAGTTAGCCGGAAATATTGAGGAAATCTTAAATGGTAATTTGCCAAAGTGTATGCTCCCTCCTAAATATATCCTTCCTTGCAAAACAAGTTGAAAATATTTTTAGGACCGAGATGTATGGAGAAAATCTAAGTAAATTATGTACCCGATGGAACAACTGAACACTTTACTACTTCAGCTGGAGTATAGCAATAATTAAGGAAAATTGTTTTATACCGGTTGGACCGTATTTCCACAATTTGAGGTCGCAAGATATAAAGCGTCTATCTTATCTTAAAGATGGATGCAAATAAGTGGTCTATTAAAACTATTGGTTCAAATATTATTTAAAAAAATTATTATTTTAAAAATTTTAAAATTTATTTATTCATTTATATTCATGATCTCGTTACATTACATTACATGGGATCAATCCATCATCTCAAAAATAGATTTTTTAAGAGGTAACTCAGGAAACCGAGTCCAACAGTAAAAGAGGAATTTAGTGGGATTTTCAAAAGACAACGGAGAAGACGGGTTGGTATAAAACGACGTGTACAAAGAAAAAAAACCCAAGCGTTTAGAATTCAACGTCAAACCCTAATTTCACGCATTTTGAATTGCAGAGAGAGAGAGATAGGGGGTGTAAGATTGATACCTGCTCCGGGAGTGATGCAGACGAGGCCTGTGATCATACCCTGAACGGCTCCGATGACAGATGGTTTCTTGAAGAAGATGACGTCGAGGCAGGTCCAGACCAAAAGGCTGGTAGCTGCACAAATGTTGGTGTTGAGAACTGCCATGGAAGAATCGATGTTAGCAGCGTAAGGGTCGCCTCCATTAAAACCCGCCCAACCCATCCACAGAAGCCCCGCTCCAGTCAACGTAAGCAGCACGTTGTTCGGTGGAAACCTCTCTCTATCCCGTGTCGACCTTGGCCCCACCTATAAACACCGCACACCTATCACTACTCAATACGAGAGACCTCCAAAACCTAATAATCAATACAAATTAAGCATACAAATAGGATGCTAACGGTCGGGTCCGATCCCGCTGGACCCGAATAGTAAGTATTCCAAAATTTGGACTTTTTTTTTTTTTTTACCAATAATACTAAATGTTGCCAATATTCTACCTATGATTATGGGTAAGGGTCGAGTCCGGTTAGTCCGGAACTCATACCAGAATAATAAGACATCTAGACCGTATGACTGCAGGTAGCGGTTGGGTCTCGCTGGACCCCAACCCGAAATTTGAACCCATATACGGGGGCCGGGTCTACCCGTCAGGTCTTGGGTTTGGTCGGATCCATTCCTAACCATAATACAAACAAAAAATAAACAAAAAGATGAGAGCAAAAAGGCTAGCCCGGCCCTTAATAGGGCCCGCTCATGCCCAAATAAAAGACAACAAAGCAAATAAAGTGAAAAAATAAGGGCGTAGGCGAATATTTTTTTTTACCAAAAATCATATACCCTCTCATCATGTTTTTTATTTTTTTTATCAATAATACTAAATCTTGCCAATATTCTGACTATGACTACGGGTATGGGTCGAGTCCGGCTAGTCCCGAACTCAAACCAAAATAGTAAAACATCTAGATCGTATGACTGTAGGTACCGGTTGGGTCTCGCTGGGCCCCAGCCCGAATTTTGAACCCATACATGGGGATCGGATCTACCCGTCAGGTCCTGGGTTTGGTCGGGTCCATTCCTAACCATAATGCAAACAAAAAATAAAAAAAAAGATGAGAGCAAAAAGGCTAGCCCGGCCCTTAATAGGGCCCGTTCAGGCCCAAATAAAAGACAACAGAGAAAATACAGTGAAAAAATAAGGGCGGGCCAGAATGAACTGGGCAAGGGCCGGGCCTCCGGCAAAAGCAGAGGAGGAGAGCGAGTGGGTGGAAGGCATACCCAATATGCGGCAGTGAGGCCTGCAATCCCAGAGCTCAAGTGAATTACATATCCCCCTGAATAATCAATCACTCCCCAGTGGAACAAGAATCCACCTCCCCACAGACTGAATGCCCCTACTGTATATGAAAACGTCAACCAGAGCGGCACAAACACCATCCACGCCATGAAATTCATCCTCCCCAGGAGCGAACCCGCCAACAAAATCAGCGTGATCGCTGCGAACACGCACTGGAAATACACCATCGATGCCATCGGGTAGTACGGCATCGCGGTGGAGGTCTCGATGGTGCCATTGTGGTACTTGTGAAGTGTGGCGGGCAGCTGGGCCTGGTTCACGAGGAACTTTTGGCCCAGCGCGGGGCCGGCTTTCCCCCAGAAGGGGAGGAGGCGGTCCCCGAAAGACATGTTGTATGCCCATGTGACCCAGCAGATCCAGACAGCCGCAAAGGCGTAGAGGGCCATGAAGGCAGAGTTCACCGCCCACTTCTTCTTGACGATGGAGCCGTAGAGGACGACCAGACCCGGCACGCTCTGGAGCCCCACCAGGGTGGCCGACACCATCTGCCACGCATTGTCCCCTTTGTTCAGCCAGTTCGGCACCGCCAGGGAGGTGTTCGCCTGGTAGGCGATTGGCACCACTGTGGCCATGGCAGCCACTTAACCTTCTCTCTCCCTCTCTAAACAGAGGTGTTTCTCTCTCTGCCTACAGAGGTATGTATGGTCTTTCTCTCTCTAGATACAGGCCTTTCTGAAGAGAAGACCCTCACCAAGTTAGTTAGACCTTTGGACTTTCTCTCTCTACAAGAGAACGCGATATCTCTCAAGCAAAAGGACGATCTTTCTCTCTCCGAAGAGATTGCAAGCAAAAGAATCTTTCTCTCTCGATCTTTCCTAGAGAGCAGGACCCTTTACATGATTTTTTTTTGTTATGACCTCTCTCTCTCTACTCTCTACACAGAGTTGTGACCTTCCTATTTGCCTGTTCCAGAGAGAGAGAGAGAGTTGGAAGGAGAGGAGATTCATTGGTTAAGGAATCCGTTGACTCAAGATTCCACGGGGTGAAGAGGAGGGGCAACTAAATTACTATAATAGCCCTGGCAATTTTAAGGTACAATGGATTATCCTTTTGGGTTCATTTCGTTCGAGGGGTTTTAAATGACACTTCAAAATGAGCGATGATCTCTTACGAAAGACTTTCATTAAATTTGATACAGATTTTTTAAAAATATAATATGAAAAGTGAAATTTGATTTTTTTAAATATCTGTATTAAATTTAATAATGGTCTTATAAAGTCCTATACACATAGATGTAGGGGGTCTCTCAAAGTCCTTTCCCCCTAAAAATATATCACTTTTTTTTGAATAAATATATCCAAAGTCTAAGCGGCTCTTAGATATGCCACGTGTTGGCGATTTAAACCGCCGGATTTTTTTTCTCTTACATTACTTTATGATGCCGCATAACTTCCCGATTCTAGAACGGTAAAACTATGTAGACTAAGTTTTTTTATTAATAAAAATCGGGGAGGGGCTTTCTCCCCGAGTGACTTTAGAGAAAAAAAAGGCCTTTGTTTCATTCTCATGTCGTTTTAGGTAGTTGTATTTGCATTCTTTATGGTAGGTAATCATGGGAATTTGTTTTGTGTGAATGTTAAATATAAACCAGCAAATCTAAATGACTCATGAAAGCTCCAAATCAGTAGGTTACACAACCAAAAGACAATACTATAGAGTTACATACAAGGCTGAGCCTTCATGATAAAAAAGGAAATGCATTATAGGCGCAATTGATGAGTCGAGAATTATGTACTTTAAAATCTTACGAATAAAACTGATTGCGACTTTTTGTGTAAAAAGTAAATGGTTTTTTTGTAGACAATCTTTTTAAAAACTGAGTATTTAAAACCTAAAAAATGATATATCTTGTAATGCATTATATGGACCAACTTTTTTTGATGTATAAATCCATAAAACCCACAATATTTTTGGAGTTTAAAATTAGGGTTGAAAATATATTCGAAAACCATCGAGGGATTTTTTATGCCAAAATTAGATTTTCCTACCTCATTTCGAGGTAAATGATATGCAAATTTATTTTCTAAACTAGACCTTATACTAAGAAAGAAAAGGGTTGGGTCGTGGTGATAGCATCCCTACACTTAGTCATTATATTGTGATTTTCATTCCTACCAATAACACCATCCCATTAATATTTTAAAAAATCTAACCCTTAATCTACTGAAATAAATGGGTAGGCTTGTCTTCCCCATTGAATTTCCCAACAAAAAAAAAGAAGCTAGATTTTATATAAGCGTAATTGGGTTTGATTCAAGTGGGTCCCATTCCATTTTCTATATATATTAAGATTTAGGAATAGCAATTTCTACTTTAAGAGGGAGTTAAATTGCATTTCATTTTAGCAAGATTTAGGAATAGCAATTTCTACTTTGAGAGGGAGTTAAATTACATTTCATTTTATAGCAAGTTGATGAATATCTAATTTAGCAAGGAATTTGCGTAATTTGGATATTTAGGGTGGAAGGAAGGTGCTTAATGAAGTGTGGGTCGATGGAGGGACACGAAAGACGAGACTCCTCCTCCCATTACCCTTGGAGCATGCTTCTCGGAACAGAATGATTCCGATGGATGGCAAGGTCCAAACTTCTTTTTAGTGATTTCAAAATAATTTTATTTTTTTTATAATTTTTTTTTAATTGATATTTCATTAGATCACGAATGTCACGTCATTTCTCCTCCAATTACTTCTTAGTTGTGAGAAATAAAAAGTGGTCCCCTTTTTTTTTTTTAGTTTTGAAATTGCTTTCATATTAGACCATATTTTATCTTTTTTTATTTATTTCGAATTGTGTATCTTAAGACTATTTCTACTCGGAAGTCATAGTTAATTTTTTGCAATTGGATATGAAATCTAATAGATGAAAATTTATCACAACATTCGAAAAATTTTATTTTGGACTTTGTGCCTAAACATTGACATATCCTTGACTACCTGATTCAAATTTAATCGTAGGCAATGATTGTGACCTCTTTGTAACAAAAGTAAATGGTCTCGTTATATATATATATATATTTTTTATAGATTTGGGGCAATCCGAAACCCCAAATGTTAAGCTGGCTCATTTTTGCACTAGTTCAATATTAGAAACATTCGACACCATAATTTACATTTTCTTTTAAAAATTTATGGGTCTGATGTTGAACATATCATACTATATATATATATATATATATATATATATATATATATATATAGTTAGGTATATACTAGAGATATACTTACTTTACTTTATAAGTAAGTACTACTAA